TAAAGTACATTTTAGGTTATAAATTGTAAAATATCCTATTTTTATTTTTCTTTCCTTATATTTGAAAGATCTATATAAGTTGAAAAAAGTTATATATGTATCACTCAATATATGTTCACATCTCTCTCTAAAAGCATACATGCAATACGTTTAGTTTCAACGGATATTTCTAAACGGACCATAAGTTACTTGATAGACGCTGATCTGGGGACATAAATTGCATTTTTGAATTTGCGCCAAAAAATGCAGCAGAGTATTTAATTGGATAAAAAAAAGCCATATTAGTTTACTCTAACAAGATAAAGAATAAAATAAAATAAGAAAATATTTTAATTTTTTTATTTTAACTTGTAAAATGTTTACCTGTTTCTTATTTTAAATGTTTTTAATCATTCAGTTAAATTAATTACGACTTGCATTTAGTTCTATACGTAATTATATTAAATATTTGTTTTAATAAAATAAACTTATAACATTTAAAATTGTTTCATTTGATAATGTGGAATATGCGATAAAAATGCAAATTTCTAACAAGAAAAGAGATAAAATTCTGCAAACTTGTTTGCGAATAATAAATATATATGGCTTAATATTAGAAATTGAAAATACAGATCGTGTAGAACATGTAAAATTCTAAATTAAAAAAAAAAATTAAGAAACTGATTCTTAGAAGTATGTAAACATAATTCACAAATATTATTATTGAATATAATTATCTTTTTAAGAATTTACATTGTTAAATAAATGTATGCAAAAAAATAAATTAAGATACAATATAGCATATAACTTATATTGATTACAATGTATAAAATAGTTACAATAATTACTCTGAATAATCATGTGTAATTATATACTAAATAATTTATTTTTTAAGTATTATAGGTTTAATAATTATATGGAGATAATTATCATTATTTATTTAAATTAATACATTGAATATCTCCCTTAAACTATTTAACTCTCCTTGTAGAAGGAATGATTACATTAAAAGACTCATTTATACAAGTACATAAATATAAGGTTACGAAATAAAATATATAATTATACAGCACTTAAAAATTTAATAAAATACAAATAAAATATTTAAATTTTAAAAATAGACACGTTAAGAGTTTTAGTTTAATTTTTGATATACTTGTATAATAAAAAATGATATAATCTACAATAAAGCCTTAGTAAATTTGCATATTTCGTTAAAAAGTCCAAATATTGTACATCTTTGTTAGCTTTCTATTTGATTTTTATCGTAGAGCATTGCAGCTGGTATGTGATTATTTGGAGCTAAACAAGTGTGGACTTATATTGATGATTACCCTTCCAACATTTCAGTGCTGCTTTTGATTTATTATTAAGCAACATTGCTATATTATTGTTGTATCGTTAATAATAAATAAGAGAAGATTTCTTAACAGTCGAATATTTATTAGCAGAAATGTTTATTTTGTTAAAAATTATTTTATATGTAAATTAAAATTATTTTATATTCATTTGAATAATACGGAATATTTATTATTATTATTATTATTATTATCATAATTTAATACCGTTTGTAAATTTATAACACGACTAATGAATTTTATTATACATCTTAATTAACAATCTTCTTAATTTATTACCAAAATTTCTAAATTAATCAAATTTTAAAATGTTAGATATTTTATTTTTTAGTGAAAAATTCAATTGTTTCGAATTAGAATTTATATCTTGAGAATTTAAAAATAAGTAAAATTACTTTATTTTACGAAAATGTAATACTTAACTTAAATTGATGTTCATATTATTACTAGAATAAAGAATATACTGTACAATTTTAACAAAATAATTTAAAATAATTAGTTAGGATATCAGTCATGATATTTTTAACTTGAGAATAAAGTTTATAAAACTTTAAACAGTAGGTTTATGGGGTAAGAAAGAAGCAAAACAAATAAAATAATTAAGATCTGAAGACAGTTTCTTGATCTTCTGCCAAAGAAATTTTTCATGATACTACAATATTAAATCACTTATATTATAAATTAATTAAATTTTAAAAGAAAAGTAACATATTTATATATTTTGATAATTAAAAACTATCTCTACGTGGTAACGTAATTTAATAAAAATATTTTTGTTTTTAAATTACTTCTATACAAAATTAGATAAGACTAAATATAAGAACAAGAAATATTTTCATAATGAAATTTTTCTTCCCTAAAATAACAATAATCCTTTCTCTTATTATTTCACTAATTAGTTGCCAAAATTTTTCTTATTCTTTAATAATTAGAGTATAAATGTCATTCTTATGTATAGTTATTTATTTGTTATATTTAATTATTTCTAACAATGAAAATGTTTTAAAAAATTATTAATATTACTGAACTTTTAAATTAACATCTGTTAATATGTTTATATATAAATGAAAAATATAAATTTAAAAAATTGTAAACTAATAAAAATAATAGAAAAGTTGAATAAAAGATTATTTTTTCTTATTATTGTTTCTTTTTTTCCTTAAGAATTTTCTATCGGTCAGACAATACTTTGATAAATTCTATACATTTTCTAACAAACAGATGGTTTTGTGTAGAGAAAAGTATCAATTTTGGCATTTAGAAAGAAAGAAAGATAAAAAAAAAAATTCAAGTAAAGATGATTTGATCGTTAACATTATAAAAAAAAACAAACAATATCTATAGAATTTTTAAAATATATATTTATATATACAAATAAAATTAAAATAATTACAGAACAATCGGTTATTAAAATTTACATTACATAAAAAAATTCTTATAAAGTTAACACAGAAGTATACATTTTAAATGTTTGATGTTTTTAAAATGCATTTGTTGTATGCTGTATTATATATTAATGCTGTTGTAAGGTAACAATTTTTTATTTATAAACAAACAAAATAAGACTTTGAGACAATTTCTCTTTAGTATAGTAAAAACATTTGTTACATCCTTATTTTTAAACATACATCTTTATTTTTGAAGATGTTTTGTTGTGGTTTATCTAATAAATATTTATATATTAATTTATAATAAGATAAATAAGACGCTAAAAATTAATAATAAATGCCCAAAAGTAGAATTTTCAAATTTTCATTATTTTAAAAATGGTAAATTGTTTACTTCTAGAAAAGAATTTATCTTCATTTAAACTATGTATTTTAGTTAAATAAGAAAAGAGATAA